GTGGCAAGACGAACAAGTAGACTCCCCAATAAGATCTTTTATACTTCAAGTTACTGGCATAAAAACTAAAAGCAGCTAATATATACAAAAAAAGTCACATTTACATAGCGAAAACGAAAAAGCAGAAGACTTGGTTTGGAGTAACTGTTGGGGAAGATTTAAAGAGTACAGAGGCATAAGATGCGACTCAACAGAAAAAAGTCTTAGATTAGTGGGGTATATTAAAAATTTGTCACAAACACTCCCAACGAAAAGTGTTCTATACAAGAGAAGTTTTTCTGTATATCTGGATCCTATTTGCGTCCTGTGTGAAGATAATAAGGAAGAAAATGCAGATCACCTCATGCAGTGTCAGGTGCTAAATAAAACATGAGTAGAAATCAAAAAGTTTAGTATTAGTCTAGCTTGGGCATCAATGGATGAAGTTTATAGGGTAGCTTTAACAATACAAGAGTTGTGGAGAGCAGTTTTTGGTTTATCACTAGTTGAGAGAGTCAAGGCATGTAGTCTTTTATCAAAGGGCCTTTTCAAATGTAGCATACTTTTGTGATTAAGTAGTATTTTAGAGAACGAAGCCGTAGCACTAGAAACTTTAAAAGCAGCTAGCTTTGGTATACAAGAATGCTTTCATAGATTGGTATGAAGTGATAGATGTAGAAAATTTATCGCATGAGAAAAAGAAAATAATATTGGTGCCAAGGAAAAATGACCAAAGAAAAGCGAAGAAAAGAAAAGGCCTCGTGGAAAGGAGAATATCACACTCGGTCCAAGTAGTGGTATTGTGAACCAATCTAGGATAAATAAGCGAATAAAGATAGTAGGGGTGGATCAACTGGTAGAGTTAGAAGTAAAACATTTGTCAGAGATTGCGGTAAGACAGAGAATTTTAAGTTCTAACCCACCGAGTTGGTGAACTAAAAAATTGTAAATATTTGTTGGGAGCTGAGCCCAGGCTAGATCATATCTTTAAATGTGTCACAACGTATATGGGATATGGTAGCCAATATTAGTGTGGTAGCCAAACTTGGGCATCTCGAAGGGACAGCCGGGTTTTAGTCTAATTAGATTATCAAATAGCTTAGTATTGTATTAAATAGTAAATATTTAATAAAATTTTAGTACGCGGTTATCAAAGGAAAAATATATATATATATATATATATGTGGCCAAATTTTTGTTTTTTTATATTAACTTTAAAACAATTCAATTATAATTAACTAAAAAAATAAACTTCGTAACTTTGTTTTTTAGGTTTTATTTTATTATTTTACAAAGAGATTTTATTAATATCTACTTTAGTTTTTATTTATAAGCTTTTAAAAATTATGTGTTTTATATGTTGATTTAAGAATGCCTGCACTATAGCAAAGAATTAAGATATATTAAAAATAAAAAAAAGGTTATAATTAAATATTCAACAAAGAATTAAATTATTTAAATAAGAAAAAAAAAAAAATACAACATGATATTTGATCTGACTCAGATTATTAGCGCAAAAAGAAGGTTAGGATTATATCCAGCAAAGAATTAAGATATATTTAAAAAAAGAAAATTTATTAATTTACACATAGTGTGCAAACACGTATCAAAACATTACACAAAATATGTAAGATTTAAAATTCTGAAATAGATAGTAACACATGATTTTATTATTTTTTATATATTAACTGTACAAAGCGTAAGTATGATATAATATATTTAGAATAAGTTAGTCGATGTTGTTTTTTTTATTTTTTCTTTCTAACTTGATCAACACTACTACATAAACATGCATGAACCCAACTATGAAAATATTTCGCCCCAACGATCTGTAATTATTTGATTCTTCATCATTTACTTGCACTTCTGCTTTGATATATCTTTATCATCCAACTAAAAAATCTAATTTTTATATTTTATAAAACTCTGAAACATATTCGATATTGACTACTATAAATAAGCTTCAGTATGAAAATTTTTGTATAGACTATAACAATTATGCTTCAACTTCATTACAGCCTCAAGTAATCTTGCTTGTGACTCTACTTTACATACCTTTTTGATCAACTAAAAAATCTAATTTATCATATTTTAATAGCCTTCTGAAACGTTGACTGATGAGAATAATCTTATTTATGAGAATAATTACACTGACCAATATGTCTATACTTCAACTTCATTACAAACTGACCAATATATCCATGCTTCGACTTCATCACAGACTGACTATGCTTCAACTTCACCACAGACTGACTATACTTTGACTTCATCACAGTTTCCTGTAATTATTTCATGTTCTATTATATTCGTATTCATATACTTGCAGTTAATTAAAGAGTTAATTTTTGTTCCTAAATAGGCTTATGATATATATTCATTTAATGATGAATCTGATGAATCAGATGATTTGTCTTATTCTTTAGAATTGTTCTATGGATGTACCTTTAATAATTGGAATGAGCTCAGAGTTTGGTTAGATAGATTTGCAGTGGAAAAAGGCTTTAGTTATAAAATTCGAACAAGTGAAGTAGTTCAAGGTGTAATATGCAGAGTTACTTACGAATGTTCTAAGTTTGGGTCTTATGTTTCACAAGTTACGTCAAATCCTATAAAGAGATATAATACACATTCTTAACGAACACAGTATTAGTGGCGACTAAATATTACTTGTTCAAAAAAAAGTGGCATTGTAAAAATTAATACATTTGTTAATGAACACAATCACTCACTTACTACAATGATCAGTCAAATAGCTCCACAATTTCAGAAGCTGACAAGTGAAATGTTAGTTGATATGGAAAAATATGTTATCCAGGGACAAATGGATTCAAAATCTATCTTTCTACTACTAAGATATGATTATCCGAATCAACCAATTTATAAACAGGACTTATACAATACAGTTTACTGGTTTCAGCAAAAAAATAATTCAGGAGATACAGACGTATCTCAGATGGTACAGCAATTACTAGAATGGAAAGATTTAAAACTATTATGGATCGTAAAACTTCAATTAGAGCCCGTTTCAAGGAGATTAAACACACTTTTTTGGATATCATTTACTCAAAGAAAGTTATATACCAAATACCATGATATTGTAATTATAGATACTATCTATAATACTAATTGGTATAGAATGCTACTTTGTGTTATAGCAGTAATAGACAACAACTACAAGACAAGGATTGTTGCAAGTGCTATTATTAAGGATGAGACGTTGAATACTTATCAATGGATTTTTGTCAATATATTTACTGAAATGGGTATTTCACCCAAAATCGTATTTACTGATTCAGATCCTTCAATTATTTGATCTATTATGGATATTTTCCCTAATATTCAGCACTTATTATATATTTTTCACATTGATATGAATCTACAAAAAAAGCTTAAGGGAAAATTAGGTATTCATTTTGAAGAATTTTGCTATAAGTTCTATATATGCCGGAATTCACTTTGTGAAGGCCTATTTGAACGTCAATGGAATCAATTAGTTGATAAATATCCTGTAGCTGCAAAATATCTAACTGAAACTCTTTACACCACTAAGGAATCTTAGGCAATACCTTGGATATACAGACATTTTACAGCTGGTGCACAAAGTTCACAAAGAATTAAATCAATTAATAAAATTATACATGATAAAGTGAATCGCTCAACATTATTATACAATTTATTATATAGTATCAAAGATTGCACTAAGAATGAAGAACATCTTGAAAAATTTGATACTGAACGAAATGCTTTACCTGTAGTTGGTATGCTTATGTTAAATACAAGACTCTTTGGCTCGATTAATAGTCTTATTAAAGAATTTTTGACTTCTGTAATGCTCGGAAAACAAAGGGCACAAATGAACCAATCCGTATGTTATGACACTATTCAAATTGCAGAATGTCAACATTTAAAAAAGGTTAGTAAAAAAAAAGCCACTTAAGCTTATATTCTTTTATTTTATAATTAAACAATTTGTTGGAGTTTTTCTTATAGGTAGAAACAGATAATAAAGATATAAGTGCTGGTGTTAGAGAACAGGAATTAGATACACAGCAAGCTCTTTTTAGTTCATTAATTAGAGCCATACCTGAAGAAGCAATTTTAGAAGTATGGAACGTATATACTACTGGAACCCAAGAAATAGACAATTATGTAGTGCTTCTTAATAAAGGCACACATTTATACACTTGTCTTCTTTTGGTTAACAAGGGGTTGATATGCCGTCACTTCTTTCGTGTCAGTACTTATTCTAAATGTGCTACCTTCTACATAAGTATAATTCCAAATCGATGGTTCTTGGATACTAATATTAAACCAAATGACCTTTTACAACAATATTTGCCTATTTCAGTATGTGGTATAGCACATAATACAGCATTTAAAAAAAGTATAAATTTTCAGCATTTTTTATCAATTTAAGCAAACTCACCCAGTTATCAGCTATTAGCAAAATCAAATAAGGCGAAATATGTTGAGTTAGTTGAACTATCAAGAAAACTTATCAATCATGCTATGAAGGCTAATTTGGAACATGAATTATTGAATATATTTAAAACACTATTTTATGATACACAAAATACAAATCAAGAAACAAAAAATGAATACTTATCTGATATTAATAATCCTGCGGTTATCCAACATAGAGGACAACTACCAAAAAGATTTAAATCAAGCATTAAACTAAATACATATAAAGAAAGACGGGCTTTAACAAATAGAACAAACAATATCATAAACAATACTGAAACTACTACAAATGGTCGAAGGTGCGGAAGATATAGACAGTATAGACACTATGCAAAAACTTGCAAGAATGAATTAGAATAGAGTTATATTATCTAGCAGATTTTTTTTTAGAACTAAGCATTTTTTTTGCTTGTGATTTATGTTACACTTAAATTATTTTAGAATAAATATTGTGCTACATATTGATCTTTAGCTATGTATAATAAAAGTTTTATTATATAGTATTCTTAATTAGAAAATATATACGTATGTATATACATACGTGCATTATATTTGAAATATTTGCAATTCTCAATGATTTACTAATTCATTATCATAAGTGTTATGTTATTAACTATCAATAGTTATTTCGCCAAAGTTTATTTAGTCAATGCTTGGGATTAAGGATAGAGTTAGCAAAGGATATTTCATATAATAATAAATGTTTTTTATATAATGATAAGTAGGTGAGATCATAAATTCGAAATTTCTTACATATCTTTTTAGTTAGTGATAAAGCATACATACTTTTTATACTAACTCTAATATGTACCTTTATTAACAATAAATATGTACAAAATTAGATACTTTATTAAACTTAATCAAATATTATTTTATTTATATATGTGTAACATTATTTAAATATAAATCATGTGATATATGTATATACATGTAGTGTACAAATAGAAATTATCTTAAAAAAAAAAGAGTGAAGTTAAATATTCAGCTAAAAATTAACTATTTGAGTAAAAGAAAAAGATATAACATGATATTTACTCTGATTCAAATTATTAGCTCAAAAAGAAGGTTAGAAATATATCGAGCAAAGAACTAAATTATACTAAAAATAAAAAAAGATTAGAGTTAAATATCAAGTGAAGAATTAATTTATTTAAAAGAAAAAAAAAAAGATATATAAAAAAAAAGTTGAGATTGTATCCAGTAAAGAATTAAGTTATTTGAGTAAAAAGAAAAAAAAGATATAATATGATATTTGACCTAACTCGGATTATTAGCACAAAAAGAAGGTTATAATTGTATCCAGCAAAAAATTAAAATATATTAAAAAAAAAAAATATTAGAGTTAAATATCTAGTGAAAAATTAAACTATTTGAGTAAAAAAAAAAAAAAGATATAATATAATATTTAACCTGACTAAGATTATTAGTACAAAAAGAAGGTTATAATTGTATACAGCAAAGAATTAAAATATATTAAAAAAAGAAAAAATCTATTTTCACTCAGGTTATTTTAATCTGAAATACAAAAATAGGCTTGTAGAAAATTTTGAAATATTCTATCACGTGACTCACATTTTGCAAGTCATATGACTCGTACTTCGTAATGTACCAACCAAACCGCAGGACTATGTGTAGATATTATCATGTGACCTGCACTTCATAATATACCAATCAAATTGTAAAAATATGTGCAAGTATTATCACGTGACTCACACTTCGTAATACACAAATTAAATTGTAAAATTACAATCTAGGTTGCAACTCCTCTTAGTTACAACTAAAATATAAAGTTGTAATAGCTATAATGGTTGTAACAACTATAATTGCAACTATTTGCTTTTTACTCTTTCTTGCATAATTATGTATATAATTAATCACGATTCAATTATAACTTGGTTTATAATAACCATTACACCCATTATTATACTATTTATAATCATTATGCCTATTATAGCAAAAAATTACAACTTTAGAATAAAAAGTTGTACTTTACTAAACCTATTATATAGTAATAGGTGATCTTAACTGTCATTGCTAATATTGCAAACTAATAAAACTAACATGACTAAAATACTTATCTTTTTCGATATTCTTATACAAAATATCTGGTAAAAAATGAGTTCTTTTTAATCGAATATAGATTTTTAAAGGTGAAGTATATATATACTTGAAACTTTTTTTCTCATAATATAGTATTTTATACCTGGGTTTTTGTCTTTTATGTGTATTATATTAGGTCTCAGTTAATGTATTATGGTATTTTTATCTATTTTTTACTCTTAGAAAACTTCGACTAAGATATAAAAAACTTAGTCTAAGGTTTTACTATAGTTATTACAGAATTCAGCAATATATACTTAAAGTTAAATATTTAATATCTTAATTCTTGTTATTATAGTATTCTTATTAACTATAGCAATTACTTATTTCTTCTTTTAAGTCATGATTTTTGCTATCGTGTGTTACTCAATCAACAAAATAATCATGACGATATCGATCACTAGTTTAATTATATAATTTACTATATAAGGGATTCGATTTACTAATTTAGTATCTTTTTGGTAAACGAATTTTTGCCTATCACGAGAACAAGAAATATAATACTATATCTTTTTATTATTAGAGAAAATTCTTGTGTACAACTATTTCAATTTTTTTCTTTTTTAAATAATAAAACAAGTGAATTGTTATTTAAAGTAAATTTTACTGTTCTTATATACGTTTATTAATTTTACAATAATAGAAATATTAGAAATACTAATAGTCTCCAATATCTTCTCTATTTTTTTTTTTTTTTTTTTTTTTAATATTAAGGTGACCACTTAGGCCCCTGGCACTTTATTAGTTCAAACGGGTGGG